CCCCATAACGTAGCAAACAACCACAAGGCTTTAGGATTAAATCTGCTTCAGTGGTTCGGGTCCTCCACGGTTCTGCAGCTCACATGAATACATTTTTGTGCAGAGGGGCTTCATTGTATCCGATTTGGCCTCATTACAGGGGGTGTTTGGGGGGGCTGTTTGAGGTGGAGGGGGGCACCCTGCCAAGACATTGTGCTTAATAACACTAAACACCTCGACCTCCACATTGTCCTCATCAGCCCTCAATTAGTCCGGTTCCCGGTTCCAAACAGACATTTCTATCTGATGCAGGAGCCTCCCGTCTGAACTTGGATCTGTGTTGACGGGGTCCACCCAGTCCACCTGGTCCACCCGGTCCAGCCGGTCCAGTCCAGGCCTCCTCAGCTCGTGGAGGGGAAAGAGCTTCTCTGTGACGGGGGGAATTAGGGACGGGATGCGGGTCCACTTGCCCTGTGCAGGGGCTTATCTTTGCCTAAGCTGAGGGACTAATAGCAAAGCCTCCAGCCGGTCTGAGGCCACGGGGACCATCTGTCCACTCTGTGGACAACTGAAGACAAAGGCAGAGGACACCCGGCTCGCACCGCAAACTAAAACTTTACAGGAATCCAGGAGGAGCAGGTCAGTTTGTMTCTGATTCATCAGTTTTAAATTAACGTCGAGGCTTAAATTTCAATCTGTTTCTGATGAAGCAAAAACAAAACGTCAGGTCGTGTGAGCTGGTTGTTGTTTTTATTCTTGTTTATCATGTTGAAGCTCTTCCTGCGGACAGTTCGCAACAAATGAAGACACAAAGCAACCTTGTGATGAATGTGTTTGTGCTGAGGGAGAGACGCCGCGCTGGATTATCTCTTCATGACTGAACTCTGAAACAAAACACTATAAATAGTCGCCTCTCCACATATTTATCAATCATCTGTCACAGCGGTTAGTTTAAAAGGTTCGTCTTTGAATCAACAGAACGTTTGAAACAAAAGCTAAACGTTGTCAAATGTTTGGTTTTGACCAAAGGTTTTAAACACAAATGTAATCCCTGATAATCCACTCAGACATTGTTCTACGTTTCCTCCAGGACCGAGCCCTGTCTTGTTTTTATCTTTTATTCTGAAGCATCTTTCTGTCTGTCAGGAGCTCCAACACTTTCTTTGTGTGGATTCTGAACCGCGGGTTCGGTTCTGAAGTCTTGACTTGCTGGAGGTGACAGAAATGGGTCAGAGGGGTCTTAGCGTTAGCTAAACAAATCCGGGCCTATAGGATTAGAGGGAGATGTTGCCGTTTGTTTGACGTCGGAACTTTATAAAGAATCCAGGAGAAGACAACGATCTGCGTCTGCTGGCAGAGACACTTTTCAGTCAACGTGATTTTATTTGGATGAAGTCTGAGTTTATTCAGGTTTTATTGAGACTCTGTAAACTCAGCTGAAGCTAACAAAGGTTTTAGCTCATCTCAGAAAGATTAAATCTTTGTTTATTTAATGTAAACAATAGTTTGTATCCGTTTTTAGCTGTAAAACAGCAGCAGAGAGTTGTGTGTTGTTGCTTTGTGTGTAGTTTTGTTTCTCCTGGTTCGGGTCGCGACCTCTCAGATCCAGAGTGGACCGGGCGGAGCCCCGGGAGGCGGGGCTTATTTCTATAGATAATCAGCTGAAACACCTTTTTATCCAGAATTACTTTAYAAAGTTAAAAGATCATTAGTGTTAGATTTGTTTGCTACTTTTAGCTTTTAACTAGTTTCCAGTACACGTAGCTTGTAGCTACGGTTTTTCTTGTTTTAGCTAGCCTTTTGCTACTKTTAGCTTTTAATTTTCAACTCGTCTTTGGTACTTGTAGCTTGAAGCTATTGTTTTTCTTCTTTTAGCTAGCCTGATGCTACTTTTAGCTTTGAGGTTTTGGCTCACCTTTGGTACTAGCTTGTAGCTGTTTTGCTTCTTTAAGCTTGTTTTATGCTCCTACATTTAGCTTTTTGTTACCCTTTTGCTTCAGTTAGCTTTTGCCAAACTAACATTTGCATAAATACAGTCCGTATCAGCTTTGTCTCCTCTAATTTTAGCTTTTAGTTAGCCTTTAGTACTTGTAGCTACCATTTTTCTCATTTTAGCTAAACTTTTGCAACATACATTGTAGTTACTCCTTTCTTCTTTAAGATAGCTGTGATACTTTAAGCCTTTAGCTAGTCA